CCCCCTCCCGGGAAGAACAGCCAGCTTGCTTTCTCCATACGAATCCATACGCCGACAGGGTAAACAGAAAAGCGACGAGTAGCAGGTAGATCCAGCGGTCGTCGGCGGTGGCGGCGGAGGGACGCGAACCCAAGCCCGCGCCGCGCTGCGTGCGGCGGACGCGCTAGAGAGGACGACGGCGGCGGGACAGCAGGGCAGGGCCCGCAGGGCGCGACGCAGTGGACGCTGCTCGGAGTGCTGGCTCATCTCGAAGGCTACGCATCCCATTTCCTGTTCCTGGTCAATGGACAGTGCCGGCCGCGCCGCCCGCGCTATTAGCTGGGGAGGTGGCCGAGCTAAAACAGCCCCCCCCCCCTCCTTTCCTCCCTTCGTCCTCTCCCTGCCAAGGGCCAACGCACTCCGGCACCGAGAGGAGAGGATAGAGCACTCACTCCCTCCGGACAACGGAAGTCCCATCATCGTCGTCGTCGCGTCGCCTCCGGCCGCGATCAACGCCCGCCGAGTTAAGTTTCGAGGTTGGCCCGGGCCAAGCAGCGGACCCCAGCGGGCGGGCCCGGCGGCGGTAGAGAAAGGGCACGACATCATGGGTGACTGGCTCCAGCCGCCGCGAGGATCCTTTCTCTAGTCGGCTGAGAGGGCTTTTGCGTTCGCGACAACGGGACGACGATTGAGGAGCTTTTTGGGGCCGAGGAGGACCTCCTCTCCCACCAGTGGTGGCGCGCGACCGACTGGAGACGTTCTGCGTGACCGCTTCCGCGCTGCCTCCCAGCCCTGCCCGACGGCAATTACTCTTCGAACAGCACCTGAGAACGATTGGGCGATCGATGCACAGTTGCCCTTGATCCAGATAGATTTTCACCCTTTTGCTGTTGAACCGGCAGCCCGAGTCTCTTTTCTCACTCGACTGTCTCCTCCTGCCCACAGGCAAACACCAGCGCATCTTCGTGACGACCCCGCGGCTCAAGCCCGGCGTGCCCGCCACGCTGTCCGAGCTGTCCATCGAGGAGAGCAGCGTGGCGCCCAAGCTGCGGCCCTTCCCGAGCTGGGCCTGGAACGAGCAGGGCGACTGTGACAACCTCATCTCCGTGTTCAGAACCACGGTGCGCATCTCGCAGTCCCCCCTCTTCGCTATGCCGCCTCTGCGGCACCTTCTGCTTTACGTTCCGAGTTGTCCTATTTCTCTCTTTGCAGACCGACCAGTGCGGTCGCCTGTGGGTGCTGGACTCGGGCACGGTCAACGTGTTCGCGGGCGCCGAGCGCGTGTGCCCGCCCAAGCTGGTCGTGTTCGACCTCCGCAGCGGCGGCCGGGAGGGCCCCGAGGTGGTGGCCAAGTACACGTTCCCCGCGGCGCAGCGCGAGCCCACGACCCTCACCATCAACGTGGTCGTTGACGTCCGCGGGAGCGACCCCGTCAGCTGTAGGGATGCCTTCGCCTACGTGGCCGATGTCACCGAGCCCGCCCTCCTCGTCTACGACCTGCGAAGGAACAGGTGGGTCGAGCTCGCTGTGCAGCAGCAGTAGCTCCTTGACCCCCACTCGCCCGGGGGGCAGGCAGCCCAACTGGCGGGACGCGTGCGCGGGCCTGCCTACCTCCCGGCGCGGCCGGCGGGTCCTGGCCTGGCTGTCCCCCTCCTTACCCTGACGCTCCCTCCCCCTCCAGGTCCTGGCGCGTGCTGAGCAACCTGCTGTACCCGTACCCGCTGCACGGCAGCTTCAACATCAACGGCGCCGAGTTCGACCTGATGGACGGCGTGTTCGGCATGGCGGTGGGCCCGCTCAGCAACGGCGACCGGCGCCTGTACTTCCACAGCCTGGCGAGCGTCCGCGAGTCCTGGGTGTCGACCCGCGTGCTGCGCAACCAGACCGAGTACGGCGACGAGCCCAGCCCTGACCTCTCCAAGCAGTTCCATGTATCGGAGCCGCGTCGCACTTCGCAGGCCGCAGCCGAGGTGAGCCCTGGTCCCAGCCTGGGTCCCGGTCCTGGTCCTTCGTGCGGCAGGTCGCGAGGTAGTTTCCTTCACAAACATCTCGTTCCCGCAGGCCATCGACACCAACGGCGTGCTGTTCTTCAGCCTCCTGTCCGAGAACGCCCTGGCCTGCTGGAACACGCGGCTGCCCTACTCGCATCAGAACATCCACGTCGTGGCCAAGGACGACAAGACCATGCAGTTCGGCAGCGGGATGAAGGTCGTGGGAAGGTGGGTCGCCGGCGCGGTGGTGCTCCGCTCCAACACTTTCCACGATTTCGCATTGTGTGCACGCCATTAATCCTTGGTTGGTCGTCTGTCGTTTGCAGGCACGTGTGGATGCTGAGCTCGCGCTTCCAGAACGTGATGGTGGACCGCGTGCGCCCCGAGGAGGTCAACTACCGCGTGCTGGTGGCGCCCATCGCCGACCTGGTCCAGGGGACGTCGTGCCACGTGCCCGGCGCGGACAACGTGGTGGACGTGGACACGGGGCTGCCCCTGTTCAGGCCACAGCCCCCCTCCGGGTTCGGCAGCGGCCTCTCGAGCTTTGGCTCCTCCATCGCCTACGGCTCGACGCCGCCCTCCTACGGCGCGCACCCGCCCACCGGCGTCCACGGCGGGCTCCACGGCCACCCCAGTGGCGCCGGCGGCGCCTTTGGGTTTTCCCACCTCACACCGCACCCGAGGCCGGGCGTCCACGGGCACGTCCACGGCCTCGGCGGCAGCACCCAGCAGCCGTCCTCGTACCACCAGCAGCACCACGGCTCTGCGTCCGGCTCGGGGCCCTCTGCCTCCGGACACTCCGGGCCGTCAGCCTCCGGCCACTCCGGCCACTCCGGCTTCTCGGCCACCGGCTCTGGGGACTCTATCGTGTTCCGGGACCCGGTGGACGGTTTCTAGACGGCGTCCACGACCCAGCGGTCACCCTTGGCGCGTCGACGTCCAGGTGCGGGCCGTTTGCGAGCCCGACCCCGACCTGGACTGGGAGACCAGGCACGTCGAGGAGATGAACGCCGTCATCAGCCTGTGGAGGGGGCGGCGAGGGCCTTGGGCAGAGTGGGGTCCGAGTGCTGAGGAGTACGATGAGGATGACGTGGTGGAGGATGAGGACAACGACGAAGGTCCTTGAAAACAGTGCTGTGATTTTTTAAATCGTGACAGTCCCCTGCCACTGCTAGCCGGCGATGGAGAGGGGAGGTCTATTTAAATTAGTCGCGTTACAATCAAGTACAAACTGAGTTGAAAGCGAAACGACAGCGTGTAGTATAAAAATTACTATAACTATTGCTACGCTAGATTACTAATTAATTTTATTATTTATTACTAGTT